AAATATACATTCATAAAATAGTAATCAGCGCCTAATTGTAAGTTTTATTGAAATTTTTCAACAAAAATGATGAAATTGCACTTTTCTTAGTACTTAAAAAAAAATTGTGCTATGCTATAAATCTATTTGATTTTTGCTATTTTCAACCGTACATATTTTTAAATAAAATTTATACTAAAATTTATATTATTTTCTAAAAACTTTTATTTTAAAATTACATTGCAGGATTTCGACATGCATTTGGTATTTGTCAGATGAACCTCAAGATAGTAGGACTATGGCCTAACTTAAATGATTCAAAAGCTAAGGATATTATTTCATTGTTACGTTTGATAATAACGTTTTTTACAATAATAACCTTTGTAACGATGGCCCAAACGACAAAATTACTTATGATTTGGGGTGACTTAAACTCAATGATAGATACCCTTTCTACGGCAAGTTTACCAATTACTGTGACGGTGCTAAAAACAATTTTATTTATCAACCATAAGAGAGGTAAGCAATGTTTTTTTCAAGTATGCTAATAGTCAACATTACCCAGGAATCTCAGAATTTCTTCTAATATTATAGGACACAATAATAGACTTAATATTTGAAAAATTTATGTACAATTCGAAAGGTCTGAAATTTTGTACAACTTTTTAAGAACTCAGATTCCTGGCGAGCAATAAAATTTAATTTGCTTTATTAAAAAATCATTTAACTTATTCTTTACTGTTTAGTTTCAAAATTTTATTCTGCGTTATATTTTAAAGAAGCCGGGTAGCAGTGAAATTTACAATTTATTTTTCACAATTTACTTATACTCATTTTTCTGACTCTACATGCGAAAGTTTTTGTTTATTAAAGCCATTATAATTTTTTTTATGTATTAGGAGACTCAGAACTAAAATCATTAATGATATTGATTACATTACAAGAATTATGAAATGATAAATCTTAATAAAAAAAAATTTTTATTTTAAAGAAATAGCAGCATTGTTATTATCTGTCTTCAAAGATTGGAGTGCTTATAAATCAGAAAAAGAAGTAAGAAATATGTTCACAAATGCCCAAACTACACGTAAAATATCATATATCTGTATGTGTCTTGGAATCGGTTCTGTTAATGGTTACGTAGCCATACGTATGAGCCAGGAGATGGATGTACTACCTGGACAGATAAATAAACGAGAACCAATGCTCATTTCATATTTTCCCTATGACTATAAGCCAAGCCCAATTTACGAAATCACTTGGCTACTTCAATACGCGGGAGCCATCCTAGCAACGTTTATCTACTCTGGTATCCATTGTCTTTTTGTAGGTTTAGTTTTACATCTTCGAGGTCAAGTGAAAAATCTCAGATTAAGTATGAAGGTCTTAGAATTCGATGATAAGAACCAGCATGAGACAAGATTCAAACAGGAGATAGGATTTATTGTGGAAAGACACGAACATCTGAACAGGTATTGGTCAATGTATAAGTGTACGTATTTCAATGTGATACAACATAATATACGAAAATAAAACAGTTTTTGTAATAAACATTTACTTAATACATTAAAAAATTCCAAATGACCTTTCTTTGGACTTGTGACTCATCTATATACGAGTAATTAGTTCATATAAGAGGCCCTCAAATATTGACCATAGCCGTTGAAAATTATCATTAGC